CCCGTATATATAGCCAAAAATAATACAGAGTGACTTAAACATCCTTGTAGTTTAGGCAAAATATAAAAATCATAGAAAGGGTAAAAAAGAGAAAAGAAATCCTAATAAACCTAGACTACTATCTATACTCCAACAGTTACCAATACGCAATCATTCAAAAAGAAGACACAACTTTTGACAAAGATTGTGTTCGTTGTCGACCCAAATCATCACCAACGGTTGTAATCATTGCCAAATGTAACCACAGTCAATCGCTTCCTCTTCTATCCATACACGAGAAAAAAATCACCGGTTAAAATCCATAGGTCATCGACTTACAACTTTCACTTGAACGTACATGGACATGACTCAAGAGCAGTGTTATCAGAACTTCGGCCGATTAGACAAATTCAACCGTGAACCAGGACCTTAACCGGTCCGATTGACTAGTTAAACCGTATAAGGAAAGGAACCGGACAAAAATCGTCAAACCGGACAGTTCGAGGCCAATAAAAGAAAATTTGAACGGTTAATTTTATTTGGGCCATTTTGCCCTAAATATCACAGAAGGCAGAGAAGGTGAACTGATCGACGCAGCAACTTCTTCTCACCAGCGACTGGGAGGCAGCGACAGCGAGGCAGCTTCATCTCAGACGTCCATCGAGGCTGTTCATTATTCAGGCGAACTTAGGCAGACACCATTGCTTCTGTTTATTGCCACTCGAAGATGCACAATTCGAGCATTGTGGAAAATTTCTGCAAGTTAAATATGGTTGAAATGGGTCTAAGAAAGTATTCAGGCGCACTCAGGCAGACACCACTGCTTCTCTTACTGTCACTCGAAGATGTACAATTCAAGCATTCTGGAAAATTTCTGCAAGTTAAATATGGTTTAAATGGGTCTAATAAAGCCCATTCAATTCAAGAACTGGAGGATCTGACAATTTGACAATGACAAGGAAAAACATACGTTGGATGTCCTTCTGATGTTGTTTGTTTAATTATTTGATGTTTATTTTGCACATTGTTGGGTATGCCTTGAATTGATCCAGGATCTAAAGGTTTTCTGCACATTTCTGGGTATGGTAAAATTCTATGCATTTTAGACCTATTTTATATTTTTTAGTTAAATTATTATGTTTTATCATTGTTATATATATTTTTTTATTATATGACCGGTCCGACCCGTCGATCCACGGTTGAACCAGTGAAATATTGACCTAGTCCCCTTGCCGGTTCGATGACATCAGAACATGACAATAAGACTTACGTGCGCATGCTTTTGCCTTCGAGTCTGACCGCACCCTTCCACATATGCTATCCTTGTTGATAGCATGCTCCAGGTAACTTCAATTCACTCTATAACTAAGTGATTGTTATCAATGCTCTATACTAGGGATCATAAGGTCCACACCCTCAGTATTATTGACGACTTTAGCCAAACACAAATTTAATTAATGTGTTGACTTGCGCTCGAAATTTTGATCAAGTACTTCCTCTAAAGCCCATGCAAGGGTTTTTCTCAATACACCTTATCGACGACTTAATACACCATGCACCTTAGATGACTATGCAGAGATCTCATGGGGCCTTAAAATGGACTTTACACTCATGAGCATGCGATAGCCCTGAAATGTCTGCTGGTGTCTTCTACCTTTTATCTGACCAATTCATATCCCCAATCTGGCAGAGTCGCATCTTTTTATAAATTTAGGCGTCTCCAAAATGTTTCTAAAAATGTTATTCACTACTTAATACTGCAATACCTAAGTGCTTCTTAAACCCACTGTAGTTACATGTTCTCTAAATTTCTCCAGAGTCAACCCCTTGGTCATAAAGTCAGTCACCATCTCTCCTGAGGGTATATAGTCGACTTTTATTTCACCCCTCTCCACTATACCTTGAATATAGTGATAATTTACGTCAATGTATTTTCCTTTAGAACTATTAGCTCAACTTTTTATTAAAGAGATAGCGGACTTATTATCACAAAACATATTGATTAGCCAATTAGGTATACCCAACTTTAAACTATCAACAAAGCATTTTATCCAAACAACATTACTTATCACTATACTACGCGCTATGTATTCGGCCTCCATTGTGTACTTTGCAACATAACCTGCTTCTTACTTTGCCAAGAAACAGTCGTTCCACCAAATAAAAATATATGACAACTTGTAGATTTTCTATCATCTACATCACCTGCAAAGTTTGCATCCCTATAGTCAATAATTTCTAGATTATTTAATCCAAAACACAATTTCATACATGTCATGCCTTTCTAGTATCTAAATATTCTCTTCACTGCCTGCTAATGTGTCCTTCCTGGATTGGATTGATTTCTACTTACTAATCCTACTGCATGACAAATGTTGGGCCTTGTACATAACATAATATACATGAGACTACCCATAGCTTGGGCGTAAGGACCTTACTCATTTCAAATATTTTCTCATTTGAACTAGGGCACATACCTTTACTTAGACTTTGACCCATGCAGAAAGAAGTGTTTATCGGCTTACTATGATTCATATCGAATCTCTTGAGCACCTTTTTCAGATACTTTTCTTGATCCAAATATAGGAGTCTAGAATTTTTATTTCTAGAGATTCTAATTCCCAAGACATAATTTGCCTCATCCATGTCCTTCATTTTGAATTTGGATCTCAGGTACGCTTTGGTTTCTTTCACCATATTTGGACAATTTTCTGCCAATAAAATATCATCTACATAAAATAACAAAATTGTTAGTTTATCATGACTTGTCTAAATATATACACAATGGTCTAAAGCACTAACTTCAAATCCTATTTCAAGGATTGTCTTATGAAATTTTAAATACCATTGTCTAGAAGATTGTTTGAGTCCATACAGAGACTTTTTCAATTTATTGACTTTGTGTTCATGTCCTTTTACCTGAAATCCATCAGGTTGAACTATATACGCAACATTGCAACCCTTATTTAAAATTAGGGAAAATCTCATCCACACCCCTCTAGTTAATTCTGAAATTTTACTACCCCCCTTCTAGTTTATATTTTCAAATCAAATACACACCCTTAATAGTAATTTGTAACTTTGTCAATACAAAAAGTAACGGTTTGACAATAAATTTTCTAAAAATATCAAAAACTACCAATCTTTATGTAAATATACTAAAATGTCCTCAACCCTTTTTCCATTATATATACCATACCCTTTATTGTTGTTGAAGGTAAAAAAAGATGTAGTGTTGCTAGCAGACATAAGAGACTAAAGTCAATCATTCTTGTTCAACTCGTTTTCTATAGTGATCAATCGTTACATAAGTTGGTAAAAAAAAATTTTTTTTTCTTGTAAATTTGTAATTGTTTTTCATGCAATTTTTTTTTACTGCAGATAGTTTTAATTTTTTCCATGAATTTTTTTAAAAAAAATTCATGTAGTTTTTTTTTTATTTTTTCATACAAATATTTTTAATTTTTTTAATATAGATTTTTAAGTTTTTTTCATGCAATTTTTATAAAAATTTTGTTCATGCACATTTTTTAATTTTTTTCCTCCATTTTTGTTATGTCAACATGATGTGATGTATTATTGTAGGATTGATGTCTTATTCAATGGTGGAGACAAAGACATAAATTAATGTCTATGTCAAAATCTCATCCATTTCTAACTCTTCTACTAACGTCTGTCCTCCACAACATCACCTGACCACTCTTCACACATCACTATTTATATAAAAAATTTAAATATTATTTGATAAAAATTATAATAATTGAATAAATTTGGTCTTAATTTGATAAATTTAAATATTAATTTGATGTTAATTTGATATTTATATTCAATGTTGATTTGATAAAATTTAATATTAATTTAATAAATTTAAATGTTGTTTTAATGAAATTGAATATTCATTTGGTGTTAAATTAAATAACTGAAATTAATTTGATAGAGTTAAATGTTAAATTAATGGAATTCAATATTCTATTTAATATATTAAATTTTGATTTAATAAAATTAAATGTCAATTTGGTGTTGATTTGATGAAATTAAAATAATAATTTAATATTAAATTAAAGAAATAATATTAAGCTAATGAAATAAAATATTAAATTAATACAACTAAATGCTAATTTGAGAAAATTAAATATCAATTTGTGTTAATTTGATGAGATGAAATGTTAATTTAGTTTAAATTAATAAATGATATTAATTTGATAAAATTAAATATTAAATTGATGAACTTAAATGTTAATATAATAGAACTAAAGGAGAGTACATTGAAATTTTAGAATCGGGAGAGGTATTGTTAAAAATAAGTCTATTTATAAAGAGTGTTGTTGTAGTTATGTTCATTTATAAAAGGTGTGGATAAAATTTACCCTATAAAATATTTAGGAATATTTTTTGTAAATTAACAATTGTCGTTAACACCTAAACCCGACAAACACGACAAGAGTGAGACTGAAGTTTTAGAATTAGGAGAGTGTGTCATTAAATTTATATCTAATTACAAGGGGTGTGAATGAAATTTTTCTTTAAAATTACGAGTAGTATTATTTCCAACCTTCCATTCTTTGTAGATAATTAATCTTACACACCAAAAAATATTTACTTTTGATATCTTTAATTTTCAAATTTTTTTTTTCAATCTTTATTATCCCTATTTGTTTCTAAGAAAACTATTTTTTGCCATGACCGTTTTTTCTGGATACTTTGATATGAACTAGGAAATTACCATGTCCTGTCACATAATATGAAGCAGCCCACTTAGACTAGAATTATTAGATCTTGGGCCGAGTTTTAGACCTTAGCTCTGCTGGGCCTCATGTTTTCAAAACTATGGGCAAATCAAGAAAGAGTCCGGGCCAAAATTAACAGTACAGTCACTGTAGAAGTAACGTTTTAACTCTCCTGTCTGGAAAGAAACGAACCAGAGGGCTGATCAAATTCACGGTGCTGCTCCTGATTTGCTAGAGAGAGAGAGAGAGAGAGAGAGAGAGAGAGAGAGTCGGCGTGAGAAAGTAGTATCCGCAATGGAGGTGGAGCTGAAAGACTTGCTAAGCGATCTCGAAAATCTCAAACGATCACTTTCTGATCCCTCTCATCACGCTTCGATTGACAAGGTACTCTCTCTCTTTCACTCTCTCTACATATACATAAGCACATATATACACTATATAGGATAGATTCATATGGCGTGTGTATGTTCGATTTCTCTGTGCTAGATGATACGATCGGTCTTTTGTATCTGTACATGATTGATCGGCCTATCGCCATTGCTTCTGACAGAACTTTCGATTTATTCAGTTGTAATTTAGATTGCTGAATTGTGTTTTGTAGATTCGATCACGTGTAGAACATCTAACCTCTCTAGCAAAATGCGGGCCGGTTCGCCGTTCGAAAGTTAAGGTTGTGAAATTTCCATTTTCTCCGTCTTAACAGTGATTATTATCACCGTTGCACAGCTCTAATTCATGGTTTCTGGCAGGATATGAGTGCTGAGGTGGTGGATAGCAACCCTTATAGCAGGCTTATGGCGCTTCAGAGGATGGGCATTGTGGACAACTATGAAAGAATACGGGATTTCTCAGTCGCCATAGTTGTCTGTATTGAAGTCCTCTCACTCCACTTGTTTATTTTTAGTTCTTCTAGGATAATTAGTGAATTCTTTCCACCAGAATTTATGTTTTATTGGCTCCCTTGGAGCTTTGATTTCAACCTTCAAACATGTGAATTATGCCATATATGGGGAAGAGGATTATATATGAGTTGCGGTGCATGTGATGATTTGTGAACTGCAATTCATACACTTGCCATGACTTTCACATTGTAATGAGTTATATTTTTGTAATATTACAGGGTATAGGTGGTGTAGGCAGTGTGGCGGCTGAGATGCTAACAAGGTGTGGCATAGGTCGCCTTTTGTTGTACGATTATGACAGTTTGGAGTTAGCTAACATGAATAGGCTATTTTTTCGTCCAGAGCAGGTGTTCCTTGACAGTATTCTCATAATTCATTTCTAATTGAAGGACTTCTCTGACCCTCTAAACACGTACAAATTTTTTTTTTTTTCAAGGTTGGTATGACAAAGACAGATGCAGCAGTTCAAACTCTGTCAGACATAAATCCTGATGTATTGCTTGAGGTAAGTGATTACTGCTAGTTGTCATCTTATATGGTGCTTCTGTTGAACATTACTGTCGATCCTAGCCTTTTTTAGGTGCTATCTTTAATCCATTTAGAAGCTCTTCTCCCCTTGTTCCTTTTTTTTTTGGGTTTGTATGTGTGCTGGTGAGGGGGATGGGGATTAGCAGTTAGGACTCTAAGTTATATACATGGTGCAAAATGTGTAAGAAAACTTCAAATTTAGTGGGGTAGGCCCTTATTGGCCTCCTTTCTAGTGCTTATGAGTAGCCTAAACCATTGTTTTGATTGGTATCTCATACATGCAAATCATTGTTAATACTGCTTAAATGCTCCGTGATGCAAGCCAGTTGGAGTGGTGAGGTATGGTGCTTCACGTTGGTAAGCTTGACCATTTATTCTATTGTAGTCCAACATTTGGCCCCGAATAATAGGCTGATTTTAGAAGAATATTTCGAATTTATAAAGAAATTAGCAGAATTGAGCACACTTACACCTCAATGCCATGAAAATAAGCAGCATGACCCTCTCAATTTATACATGACTGCCCAAAGGACATAAAGTCACAATATATTTTGAGGATTGAAATCTCACCTTTCAATTGGCTTCATTTGTTTCAGTGTCTTTATTGAAGATGTTGTCTAGTGTTATTATTTTTCATAGATACGAGTTTTGAAATTAAAGATTTATAGAATCAGTAAGTGCCAAAATCTAATTATCTCATTTTAGATATTGGAAGCTCTTAAGCTCATTAACTTGAGGTCATCCCTTGTGACTTCAAATGACTTCTGACCTACATGACAAGGGCCGACATAGTTACTTGTAGTCAGAATACATATGCGATTTCCTACATGTTGAGCTCGAGTAAAAATTGACAAGCAAGATACCTATGGTCCCTGAAATTGGTTTCATCTCTGAAAGGCAAATGTAGGTGTTCCCTTGTTTTGTAGCTTCTGTTGTCAGCCTTTTTTGTTTTTCTTGAAACATTTCTTATTAGGGTCTATAAGTCGTCCTCTTTCCCTTGTAGAAAGATTGTTTCAGGTCCTCATGCATAGCATGGTTTGTAGTCTCCTTAGAATTCTGTGCTTATGTGTTACAATGGTACTTCAGCACTTTCTGCATTCTAGAAATGTTCTTATATGTTCTCTGATGCTTATTTATTCATTGTGTTTTAGAGCTATACTCTAAACATCACAACGGTGCAAGGTTTTGAAACTTTTGTGGCAAGCCTTAAAAATAAAATGTTTCGCCCAGATAAAGAAGGTAGCGGAGTTGATCTTGTTTTAAGCTGTGTGGATAATTATGAAGCAAGGATGGTAGTAAATCAGGTGACAGGCTTTTCAATTTTTTTCCAGTGCTTTTGATATGAAAATTGTTCCCTTGGTATTTCAAAAGCATTTAGTCTGTACACAAAAGTAAATAGTGCTTTCTGTTTCTTGCAATTAGTGTTAACTCTGTAGCTAAATTTGTTGTGGTGGTACAGGCTTGCAATGAGTTAAATCAAACATGGATGGAGTCTGGTAAGTGACATGATTTTGATGCTTTCGCTTTTCTTATCTGAGAATATTTGTTTAACCTGGTTGGTTGCGAAATGTATTATTAATTGCAACAATTATGTTGGATAAGAGTTGCGGATCTACTCTGTCGCTCACTACAGTATGATGTAACTTTGAGGAAATGTCTCAAAAAATCCAAAAATAGGGAAAGGGTAAATTAAATTTACTCCGCTTGACATATGGGATTATTATCTGGCTACCCCTAACATTCCTAAAATGACCAGGGGGACCCCATTTGGAGGTTGTTAGCGGGAAATGATTTTAATTATGCCTAGTTAAAGCTAGGTCAAAAACAAATAAATGAGAGAGACAAACCCCTGGCCAACCCAAGCCCCCACCTCCTCCACCCCTCTCAGACCCCCACTGGCCAGATGCGCACTGCCGCCCCCCTATCTATGATGACATCCACATTTGACCAGCAACCGAAACTCAGTAACACATACATTTATTGCAGTCAGTTTTGTGGGATTGTCTGGTTTAAATATGTAGTGGAGATTTTCCTGCATCAATCCTCTTGATTAACAAGTTGGCTGACCACTGTCTCAGGCTTCTTAATGTCATTAATATCAGATTTATGGTTCATATTGTGCATTTGGAAGATGTGTATCAAAGCATGAAGCCTACGTGTAGCTCTTATGGTTTGGTCTAATGAGATGACCACAATCCATTTAGGGATGATAGTGACATATTATAATAGAAGACCATGGAACAATTCAATCCTAAGCAATCTGGCGGTTCTTCACCTCGAAAAAATATGATCACTAGGATATTGGGGTGTATAGTGCAATCCAAAAATATTAATTTTATGGCATGTCACAAATATTAAGTCTATTACATCATGTGGTATAATAGTGTGACTTAATCAGCTAACAGACCAATTTAAAAGTACTTTATTCTAAATTAAACCATGTATAATAGAAGGGAAATGAAAGAAAAAACAAGCAGAGTATATTGGGAAAATGGCATGCAAGTAATAAAAATGGAGTAGAACAATGAAAAAAAAATGTGTCTGAACTCAATCAATCGGAATGGGACATGTAATTAAGCTTTATATGTAAAGTTAAATTTATGTATAGAATCAGTATGTACTCTGTTATTGATATTTTTCTTATATGAGATGAAAATTTGTTATTTTCTTTTGTAAATACTGGTAAGTGATAACATAACTGATTATTGGTCGGTTAGGATTTGTTAAGGCAACATAAAATCAAGAAAAATTTCCAAACTGTTTACAAATTATTGGTTGTATGTACTTATTTTAAACATTTGATAAGCTATAATGCAAGCTTCTGCAAGATGGCTCACAGATCAGAATAGGGACAGGAAAATTAGGAAAGAGATATAGATGTCCTATTTGATGTGTACTTGTGCCATGTCATCAAGACAATTAATGGATTGTTATTCACCTTTTTCATTCTTTTGGCAGGTGTATCAGAAAATGCTGTTTCAGGTCATATACAATTGCTGATTCCTGGAGAAACTGCTTGTTTTGCATGTGCGCCTCCCTTGGTAGGGTCATTTCTTTATCCCAATTCAGTTGAAATTGGAGGGGAAAGGGATTTAATATAAAAATTGTTTGCTTATTTCTGAAATAGTTTGTTTAATTTGTTTTGCATGAGTAGTTGTGTGGAACTTGATCAGGCTAGCCTGGATCTTATTGGGGTAGTGCTATGCTTGCATTAGCATATGCAAGTTATACTAAGACATTAAATGCCAAATTTGATATTAATCAAAGATTTTCTCAAATTGTTTGACCGTCACTTTTTGTGTGGTTTTGAGAACTGTTCATAGACTATCATTTTGTCTCCTTATTGGAGTTATTTGCACCATTTTACATTGTAAAGATGAGTTGGATATGAGCATTAAGAAAGGATTCTCTTTTGCCGTAGGTTGTAGCATCTGGAGTTGATGAACGTACGCTTAAGCGTGAAGGGGTTTGTGCTGCATCTTTACCTACTACCATGGTAAGGATGTATCTTTCCCTTTCTTAATCTCTATGGCTTGTCTGTTCCTCTTTGTTCTTGTTGTGGGTTTTATCTTTCACATGACCAGGATTTGGGTTTCTCAATTGATGGTCCAGTGGATCCTGTCTTAAGGAACTTTGATATCTTCACTGTGTTGTTTCTGTCATGGATACCTTGTTCCTTGTTCCTGTGCAACTCAAGCATGTTTTTGGCTTTTTCATAATTCATTTGGCGTACAAGGGTTCTATCTTATCAATAAGATGTAACTTTTGTGTTGTCTCTGGATACTAAACCCTTTTGCCTTGCTGCTGATACACATGAGCATATGAATTTATTTGGTAGGGGGTTGTTGCTGGGCTTCTCGTTCAAAACACACTCAAATACTTGCTTAAGTTTGGACATGTTTCTCCATACTTGGTAAGTCTTGCACCAACTCTCTCTCTCTCTCTCATACACACACAATGTGGAATACGGTTGCTTGAAAATTATGTCTCTAATTCTACTCTGTTGTGAGCTACTTGCTTGCAAAATACTGAGTTGAGTTTGTCTGAGCCGTTGGAAGGATTAATAAAATTTAGCTGCTCGGTTGAGATTTACTTTTGTGAATAATCAGTCACAATGTGCATCCTGACTTTCTGCTTGATTTCAGGGTTACAATGCTCTCAAAGACTACTTCCCAACAATGGAAATGAAGCCAAACCCTCAATGTTCAAATGCAGCTTGCCTGGAATGTCAGGTATAATGACTTTGAAGAAGCCTTGTTTATCTACTTTGCTTTGTGAAATTAATCGATTTCGGTTATTTGGTTTCTCTATGACCTTGGAACCAAAATTTTTCAATCTGCCAGAAAGAATACATTCTTGTAAAGCCTGCCAGGGATGCTGCTGCTAAAGCAAAGATGGAAGCCGAAGCTCTATTAGAAACAGAATCCCCCGTTCATGCAGAAAATGAGTGGAGCATAAGGTAAACTTCCTGAGGGATGGGTAATGACTCCTGAGGATTTTGTGGTTTCAACCTTGTGGCAGATATTTTTGGTCAGCTACGTTCTACATTTGAATAAACTGAAAGGCCCATTTGCAGAGGAAAAACCCTCTGGCTAGATATTCATGGAGGACGAATTTTGTCCACCTCGATGTTATGCAGTTGCCTGGTTGCTTGCCTTATCATTCAGTAAATATTCTTTCCTGGGAGCTTACTATGTTTTTTGTGGTGCTTTCAGCGTTGTGGAAGATTGTGAACTGGATAGGACAGATTTCAGAAGTTCAGGTGATCCTTCTCAGATTATGCTGTCAATTATTTTTATATTCAGGGTATTTGTCATTGAATTGGTCATTTAGTCGAAAAAAATTCTTTTTGTTAGAATCTGTGACGTATTCTTTGCCACGGTCGTATGTTCCCAATCAGTTCTCTTTTCTCTTTTACCCACCATCTCTTGTGCCTTTATAGTATGGGCTTCTTGTATGCAGAGGCAATATGGATTATGATGTCAAAGATAACAATATGGTCTTTACTTGCATCCTCCATCTTTACTCGGATGAAGCCTTGTTTTCACATGGAACCCCCCCCCCGGAACACTAAACTATTTAAAATCCACTTTTTGTAGTCTTTTTTGTTCTCCTCAAAGTGGATGTTCCAAACACGACACAGCCTCTAGGGTACCTCTTGTCTTGGCCTTTGTTCACTCTACCACATCACTTTATGGTGTGCTATTGGACTGACAAGGTATACCGGGACGAAGTTTAGTAAATATACCCTCTTTGGTGATGATATTGTCATTGGAGACACCCTGGTTGCGAACGGTTATAAGGATGTCATCAATCGCTTAGGTGTGATCAAAACCAAAATTTTTGCTCTCCGATAGAGGCGATCTTGAGTTCGCAAAGAAATTCAGAATTCACAGTCGTGAGCTATCCCCGATGAGTGTCAAAAATGATAAGATTGGCAAGGCATACAATTGCATGGATGACAGTGTTTCGAAATCATAGAGAATGTCACGTGATTACAGTTATGTCTTCATCTTTTTTATTTATCTGAAAACTATCAAGTCAATCTAATAATGCTTCTTATAGAGACGTGTTTCAAGTCATCTGATTAGGGACACTAGTTACCCTTTTTTTGAATATGTGGCCAAAGGCCGGAGACATGGTCTATACCACAGCTTGTGATGAGACCTTGGAGGCCACGATTGTAGTTTACGGAGTGGGTGTCATAGTTCCACAAGCAAAGGAATTAGAGCCATTGGTGGCCGTGAAGGATACAATGCATTTAGGCTAATGGTGCTACCAGCTACACTAGCTGACTATTAAAGCACTAACTGAACGTGCTTTGTAGTCAAGGCTCGTTCCGTAGCATGGTGAATTGTTTTCTCACCCCTGGTCAATGGTTGCAATAATTTGAATTTCACAATAATTGCAAGATTTTGTGTTTTGATTTTCATTTCCTCCATACACTTGTCTATGAAATGGACTATTCATCTTTTATATGTTTTGTCAGTTTTTACCTAATTTGTCGTTTATTTCAGATGCACTTCCAGAAGGTCTTGTTCATGAACTCCCAAGTGCAGACGAATTCCAAAAACTGCCTGCTCCGCAACAGAGCACAAACCTTATGGATGACCTAGAAAATCTTAGAAGGCAGCTCGATGCACTTAATGCTGACTAATTCTATTGACGATCATACCCTATTTGATTTCCAAATCAAATCCATCTCTCTGACACTTAACCGGTAATATCTCAAGCGAGAAACAATTGCAACCTGATTTTGGTAGACTTTCATGTGTTCTAATAGAAACATCATACAACTACATGTTACCTTAAATAGTAACTCTTTACTTTTTTTGCCTCCTTTTTCAAATCTTCTAACCCGTTTTCACTGTACACCCAAGGATTTGTTGTGATTTCTTAAGTATTATGATGCGAATTACTTTTTGAATGCATCCATATAGTCGGCTCTTTAAATTGCCTTTGCATCATTGTGTAGGAACCCTTCACTCTAGAATTGAGAGATACTATGGAAGATCTTATACAAGAATGTTGTGCTAACTAAGATTTCTTACCAAGCAATGTGGTATAATTTTTAGCATCAGATAAATCCCTATTTATATTCAATGATGGAGATTATGTCATACCACTTTAGAAAAAAAAGTTGGTAAAAAACTTAAAAAACATAACATTACTAAATCGTATATATAGCCAAAACAGTTAATCTAACTAGCAAATTAGACGTACATCTAACTAGCTTCATATCAATTATGCAGCCTTTTTGATACAAATTGGACATAGCTATCACCAAGGTTTAGTAAGAGTTCATTGGTCATCCTTCCCTTCTTTTCGATAGTTTTAATCATGTTTAATCACCCTAACTTGCCCTATTTAGATCATGTCTTAATTGAATACGACTTATCGTGAAACTTCTCATCTATAGGAAATGAATGAATGCAACGTATCATAGTTCAAAGATATTTCAAGGCATGAAACCCACCTGAAAACTGTTATAGCTCATGGATCAGTATTGTTGACTCTGTTTTCAATAGATTTCATCAACGTACTTCTAAGAATTCTCACAATTAGTACCAAGATATTATGTTGAATGTTTCACACTAATAATGCACAAGTCACTAAATCAAAATAATGCGATCATGTATTAGTTGCTAGTGAGTGGCAACTATGCAAACGACACATCCCTCCATTCACAGGCCAAACAAGCGTATGGTGAGGTGACCGTCCTAGCATGCGGAAGTGCTTAACACATCTGCATACACACTGATTATGGTAGCAGCAGCATCAGTTGACTATAAGTTAAGGCGCTTAACTACGAATTCTGCCAACTGCAGCCAAGTAGACATCCAATCTGTTCTGTCCCTCAAATCAAAGACTGCTGAACTTAAACAAGCCAAATTTAATTCTTTCAAGATAAATACCTGTTAACAAACAACACTATGATTTGATAGATAGATAGATGGCCATAATTCACAAGATCATCCCGCAGTCTTAGTAAGAATGGGAAAGGGTTAAGGATTTACCCAATGTGAGATATTAGGGGAAGATGGGAAACACGACTTTATACCAAGGTGGTTGAGTTTGTAGATTATATAAAAATATTACCTTACAACAGACTGAAAAATTCATATCATGATGGAACTTCTAGGGCCCCTCGAACTTGATTAGAATCTGACTCATCTGTGGCTGATGTTTCCTAACCTGAAAATGAAAATAATGAAATCGAGTTTAAACCTAAATTGAAAAATCAAAATCCCTCCCAAATACATCTGCAAGCCATTGCACTTATTTAAAGCACCACAAAAAAAGGGTGTCATTGTGGACTAAAAGGTGCATACAGGATTGATTAAAAGCGAATATTTTGCATATGTTAAGATGGGTAGTCATTTTTAGCTAGGCCATATACACAGATATAAACCCCTCCTGATAACCCCAACTTATGACCCATGGGAAGAAAAGGGCTTCATGAAAAATGGTTTAGCCATAAGTAAGGCTTACTTTTACACCTGCCATTGATAGAAGTTTGTGAGAAGCGGCATAGGCAGCTTCTGAATTGCCCAATCTCTTCTCTACAAAATAGATAACTTCAGAAACACCTGACTGCAATGCAAAAGGAATAACAATTTAAATATTTAGAATTTTGATAGAGCAATAGAAAATGAAATGGAGAAGGCTTAATATGTGAGAATCAACACTGAAAACAACTTCAATGCTGAAGAAATATATATCATACCGGGAATGCTAAGAGCCACATGCCACTAAGTTATTCCTAATTTGGGTAATGCATCGACATGCCGTTAGCTCGAAATGAGTAATGAGTGCACAGGAAGTGGAAACTAAATGGAGTATGTTGCTTTCTATAGGTTTTGCTTCTGCTTATTTATTTTCTTTATACGAATGTCTTTTCAATTGGTGGTGATGATGCACAAAAATAGTTTTGCACACCACCTGTCAAGTATAGATAATAAATGCAATGAAATCAATGAGAAAATTAAAGAAGACACAATTTATAGTGGTTCGGTCAATTCGACCTACGTCCACTCTTCAATGGCTTCAGTTGCCGGGTATTTTATTGATTCAAAGGTATGGAGAATGGAGATACAAGCTTTGAGAGAGAGAATGGAGAATCAAAGAATAATAATCTCCGGTAGTCGGTTCGTCTTCTGTATGCCTCTGGTGGGGTGTGTGTCCCTTTCTCTCTCAGATTAGAGCCATTTTATAGTAGATAAGAGATCATTCTTGTGGAGATCATAACATATCCTCAAGGCTTCTTTATCGCAGCTTAGAGATTATCTTCGGTGGAGATCACGACTTATCCTCAACGGAAGGAAGAGTTTGGGGAACTCTTGAAGGAAACGTGGTCAAAGATTGGACCGTTGATAAGCTTCTCGTGCTCTCTTCTTGGTGACGTGCTAAGCAAGAAGTCCAACTGTGCTCTCCTCTTGGTGACGTGCTAAGCAAGAAGTCCAACCGGCCTTGGGCTCCCTAAGGCGGTGTAGATAAACTTCCAGTGCTCTCTTCTTGGTGACGTGCTAAGCAAGAAGTCCAACCGTGCTCTCCTCTTGGTGACGTGCTAAGCAAGAAGTCTAACCGTGCTCTCCTCTTGGACTTGGTGGATTCACAATGAGGTTGGGCTCCTCAACCAGGGCTGGGCTTTAATACATAAATTGGACTATTTGGGCTTAACCCATCATTTGCCCCCCGATGCCCCATGTCCAAGGAGACTTAGAGAAGGAGGCATTGATTACATTTTTTTTTTTTTTTTTTTTTTAAACTTCAAATCTTTCCCATTTAATTTTGAAAAGGGAGTGGTGGAGGTTGAAGAAAGTTGTGGATCTGAAATTGAAAGGCTGGGTAGCGAAGAGGAGGCGAGGAGGGGCGAAGGTGCGCTGGGCGCGCGGCTGGGCAGCGCTTGCACGCGGCTGCGCAGCGCGGGCGCACAGCTGGGCAGCGAGCGCGGGGGGCCTGGGCGGCTGTTCTGCGCGCGCTGGGGGCCTGGGCAGCTGCCTAGGGGCTGCTCCTCCTGTCTTGGACAGCCCAGGGGCGCTGGGCAGCTGCCTGGGCGCTGGGCTTGCTGTCCTGGACAGCCCAGGTGTGCTGGGCAGCAGCCTAGCTGCTGCTTCTGCTGTCCCGGACAGCTTCAAATCTGCTGCGCTGGGCAGCTTTGGAACGCTGGGCAGCAGCATTTTTCCATCGGGGGGCGCTGAAAATCAGTCCAAGGTTTGTCAGGGAGAGCTAGGCAGTGGCCTGGGAGCACGGGCTGATCCGATTCTCATTCGAGGTGCTGATTTGGGCGCCTTAGGTGCTGATTTTTGCGCCGAAAATTCTTCTTTGTGTAATATTGAAAGGCCAAGCACCCTTCAAGCTACTGGGCAACTTTGTTTGGATGAGCAACAGCAGTCAGGCACACTTTCAGGCGTTGGGCTAGAAATTGCAAGCAGTAGGGAAGCTTTGGGTGCTGCTCTTGATGATCAATCCCTTCTCCAGGTGCTGGGCGCCTTGGGTGACCCTGGGGCTACCTCGGGAGAGCCTGCTTGTGATGACAAAAATAATGTTATTCCAAACATTAAAATATCTCACATAATTACCTGGAGAGAGAGAGAAGTAGGCTGTTTGCGCGAGAGCAAAGACAGAGTTGGAGAACTGCTCGTGAGAGAGCTACACTTTTTGAGACCTAACTTTTGGCGACCCATGAGGGAGTCTTTAAGCTTGAGGTATAAGCTTCCTGTTTGAGAACAGTGCAGAGACCAAGCTTTTTTGGTGACCCGTGAGAGAGCCGCTAAGCTGGAGATAGGCTGCCTGTTTGAGAACAGTGCAGAGGCCAAGTTTTATTTTGTTTTGTTTTGTTTTGTTTTTTTTTTTTTTTTTTTTTTTTTTGCCGATCCATGAGAGAACCGCTAAACTGGAGATAGGCTGCCTGTTTGAAAACAGTGCAGAGGCCAAGTTTTTTGGCGATCCGTGAGAGAACCGCTAAACTGGAGATAGGCTGCCTGTTTGAGAACAGTGCAGAGGCCAAGTTTTTTGGCGACCCGTGAGAGAGCCGCTAAACTGGAGATAGGCTGCCTGTTTGAGAACAGTGCAGAGGCCAAGTTTTTTGGCGACCCGTGAGAGAGCCGCTAAACCGGAGATAGACTGTCTGTTTGAGAACAGTACAGAGGCTAAGTTTTTTAGCGACCCGTGAGAGAGTCGCTAAGCCGGAGATAGACTGCCTGTTTGAGAACAGTGCAGAGGCAGGTCAAGTTTCTGGTGATCTGTGAGATGATTCACCTTGCCTAAACTTGTTGATTTCCTCAGCATTCATATATCTTTGAGCTTTTGTGAATAGTTCTGGCATGCTCTTCGGTGGGTGCTTCAGAACCGAGAAAAGGAAACTTGATGAACGGAGGCCACCCAAGAAGGCGGTCATCGTCACCTTGTCGTCGGGTTCATCAACTTGGAGTACCTCCTCGTTAAAACGAGTGAGATAACTCCTCAGGCTCTCCTTGCGGTCCTGCTTTATACTAAGCAGGTGCGTAACTGGCTTCTGGTGACGACGCCCTCCTATGAAGTGTGAGACGAATGATCTGCTAAGCTCGGCAAAAGAGGTAATAGAGGCGGGGGAGAGCTTAGCAAACCACTGTCGGGCAGACCCTGTTAATGTGGTTGGGAATGCCCTGCACATGATTTCGTCTGGTACGTTGTGCAATTGCATCAAGGTCTTGTAAGTGTCAAGGTGGTCCAGTGGATCCTTTGTTCCATCAAAGGTCTCCACAGATGGCATTTTGAACTTCTGAGGGAGGGGGTAGTTTGCTACATCGGGTTTGAAAGGGGTATCAGTACGCCTTACCAGGTGGTCAACAGTCTCGGGTCCTTGTGCCTTCATGGCGTTGAAGACATCACCGAGTTGATTCTGTACCTCCTTTATCTTCTCGTCCCAATGATTGGGGGCTCTTCTGGAATGATCATGGAAGTGGCTTCCATGCCCCATGCTTTGGTTTTCACCCTCATCCTCCTGGAGATAAGGGTCCTCTCCCTGGAAAGCAAGGGGAGGAGGAGGTGCAGCTCCCTCATGTTGGGCTTTCCGAAGTGGGGTGCCCAATGGGGCACCCGGGCGTGGAGTAACAGGGCGTGGTGCTTCTTGATGTCCAGGATGTGGAACTCCTTGGGGTGCTCTATGTTGTGCACCTCCGTGGGGCCCTCCATGTTGTGCACCTCCATGTGGTGCTCCACCTTGGGGTCCTCCATGTTGTGCACCTCCGTGTGGTGCTCCACCTTGGGGTCCTCCATGTTGTGCACCTCCGTGGGGCCCTCCATGTTGTGCACCTCCATGTGGTGCTCCACCTTGGGGTCCTCCATGTTGTGCACCTCCGTGTGGTGCTCCACCTTGGGGTCCTCCATGTTGTGCACCTCCGTGTGGTGCTCCTCCTTGTCCAGCAAGTATGAGTTGCAGTAACTGTTGGTTTTGAGCAACCAGTTGCTGCATGGTCTCCAATATTTGTTGGAGATTCGGGGCTAAAGTATCCGGAACAGGGTTGATAGGCGGGGGGTCAACCTCCTCCTCTCGTGGAGGATTGTCTTCGTGTTGGTTCATGGATCGAGTAGTGATCGCCATTAGTTAATGGACGTAATGTTCAGGAGTGAGAATTTTGTCGGTTCCCACAGACGGCGCCAAACTGATGATGCACAAAAATGGTTTTGCACACCACCTGTCAAGTATAGATAATAAATGCAATGAAATCAATGAGAAAATTAAAGAAGACACAATTTATAATGGTTCGGTCAATTCGACCTACGTCCACTCTTCAATGGCTTCAGTTGCCGGGTATTTTATTGATTCAAAGGTATGGAGAATGGAGATACAAGCTTTGAGAGAGAGAATGGAGAATCAAAGAATAATAATCTCCGGTAGTCGGTTCGTCTTCTGTATGCCTCTGGTGGGGTGTGTGTCCCTTTCTCTCTCAGATTAGAGCCATTTTATAGTAGATAAGAGATCATTCTTGTGGAGATCATAACATATCCTCAAGGCTTCTTTATCGCAGCTTAGAGATTATCTTCGGTGGAGATCACGACTTATCCTCAACGGAAGGAAGAGTTTGGGGAACTCTTGAAGGAAACGTGGTCAAAAATTGGACCGTTGATAAGCTTCTCGTGCTCTCTTCTTGGTGACGTGCTAAGCAAGAAGTCCAACTGTGCTCTCCTCTTGGTGACGTGCTAAGCAAGAAGTCCAACCAGCCTTGGGCTCCCTAAGGCGGTGTAGATAAACTTCCAGTGCTCTCTTCTTAGTGACGTGCTAAGCAAGAAGTCCAACCGTGCTCTCCTCTTGGTGACGTGCTAAGCAAGAAGTCTAATCGTGCTCTCCTCTTGGACTTGGTGGATTCACAATGAGGTTGGACTCCTCAACCAGGGCTGGGCTTTAATACATAAATTGGACTATTTGGGCTTAACCCATCAGGTGGCATTTCCATTTCCCTGGGAGCCATTGGGGCATGCAATTTATGCATAACCATAAACCTTACATCACATTATTGATATTCCATACATCATATGTACACCATATATCTCGCATACCTAAACATCTGTTATACGAGAAACTTAGGACAAATGGTTCATTCCGTGTCCCTCCCTCTTTCTCCTTTCTTCCTTTGGAGTGATTCTCCTTTTAATTCCTTCCATTTTTTGTGGCATGTTCATTAAGATTGTAGTTGAAAAATTAGCAAAACTGTCTCAACACAAATTAACATTGAGGCAGAACTTATATGGCAGCAGCATCAATGACTGTTTTTGTGTGCGTCCATGCATTTCCATGTGTATTCTACAGGAAGTTAATTCACAGTGAGTATTTTATTGCAGTAAATGCAAAAAAAGGAGCAAGCTTACTTCACCTGAATAATTATCTTGGCACATTCATTGCAAGGAAACATTGTCACATAAAGTCTCTGCAAAATTATAGTGCATAACATAAAAATTAGTAAAATAATTGCATTGCGTAGCATGTCCTGAACTCTCATAATCAGTCCTACCTTTTGTTAAAACACGGCAATTCTGGTATAACAGAAGAGCAAGAAAACAGTGAATGAGATACAAAATAATACTGGAGCTAACCTGCCCTGCTGCAGATGCATGATTTGTGTTCAGGATAGCATTAACTTCAGCATGGCAAACATAACTGCAAGGGACAATGAAATAGAATAGCCAAAATTCAGGTCAATCATCTAAATTCGAAGTGTGGGGATACAGGGATCGACCAAAGCTTTTAAAAAACTCTAGAAGAAACAGTAGATTAAAATAATAAAAAAGTATCAGTGCCTGCTGAAACATTATCTAGACAATTTAGCTGTAAATAAAGAATAGTACTTCAGAAAACATATCACTTACGGATACTTTGTCTCCAAAGGGTCCCCATTCTTGGATTTCTGAGAAATTAGTGAATGGGGTAAGTATCAGTTAATCAATATTGGATTATAATATCACCAGTTTTAAAATTAGTAACATCACAACCTTCGACCAGGGAAGCTTGTCATCTGAACAACCACGTGGGAATCCATTGTAGCCGATGCCTGACAGAAGATAAATGAGCATGCATGTGGCATATCATCACAACACAAGAGGACTTTGTTTTTATCATGGAAGTTCTAAATCTCGAAACTCATTGTGAACATATTAAGGGCTATCAGGTTTTATACTTGACAAAGAAGACTTCTATAGTCTTTTTATAAAGGAGCAGCACAATGAGTACCAATATCATCACACCACTAACTGGAAGAATGACAAACTAGTAAATGACTGAGCATGATGGAACTTTATATATAACCCTCAATATCACTTTGTAGATAAATTTTGTAAAGGAGAAGAAATATAGTGACCAGGATGTAGAACAAGTAAATGACTGAGCCTTATTACTGACAATTGTGAGAATAAAAAGATAACAGCAGATTCCTGAGAAAAATGCACATGATACAGCAATGACCAATCCCCAGTAAGATTTTAAAAAGTAAGAAGCTTCCCCACACATGCAAAAAAAGACCATGTAACCAGTGTTATCAAAATCAGACCGGACTGGCCGGTCGGACCCTAATCGGTCCGGTTCCTTAATTGAACCGTTTAAGGGAACTGGCTAAAAACTGGAAAATCGGCCAGTTTTTTGTTAAAAACCGTGAACCGGCGGTTTTATAAAAACTAGACGATTTAATGCCTATTTAAAAATTAAATTACATAAATAAATTTTTTTGTCCTAAATCAGTAAATAACTGATTTTTTTTAACCTTATTTTTGGATAAATTATAAATGACACCCTTTCCTTTTCTTTATAATTTACTTGAACCTCTTTACTTTACTTTAAAATACAATAACCCCCACTTTGTTACTTAATTTCATTAATTTTATGGCAAATTATATGTATTTTATACATATTTTATATTTTTTAGCTAAATTATTAAGTTTTATAATTATTATATAATTTTTTTTTATTTTTTTATTATACGACCGGTCCGACCAGTTGACCCAACGGTTGAACCAGTGAACCATTGATCCGATTCCCTTGCCGGTTCGATGACCGGTCCGGTTCCGATAACATTGCATATAACTATTGATATCTCTGCAGGAAGATCAGCATTCCAAGTGTTTTTTTAACAGACTAATTACTTTAGGACTTTAGGAGAATTCATTCACATTCCAAACAGAAGGTGCAATCTGTCCCCAACCAGTGCTTGTCCACACTTTAAAGAAAAACTTAAAAAATTGTTAAAAGTGTAATGACAATCACTGTGAAGCTCTAAAGTTTAGGATGCTAACAATGATTTGATCCACCTTTGTGGATTCGCAAACACTAGTTACTAAAACGATAGAAATAGAAACAAACAGTTATTTCTCGATCAACTTGCATAAAAAATTTGAAGTTCTTTTATCTTTTTAAAATATGATGGTTCTTTTTGTAAGCATAAGTGAAAAAAATAACAATGAAGATGTCTCTCTTGTTGATTAATTTCATCAAGATAGCAGTGAATTTGAACTAAGCAATCTTACCAAGGATTATTCCATTTTGACTCACCAAGCATGCACCTACCTACAATACAGAAAACGAATGATTTTAATTGCAAGGGGAGAGAGAGAGAGAGAGAGAGAGAGAGATCAGGTACGTGACCTGCCTGTTAGGATCCTTGGACCGCTCAGCAGATAGAAATGCGATTGCCATGAAATAGTCATCCCATGATAAATACCTGAATTCAACAAACTAGATTCACTACCGTTGTTTGGTCGCTGAGAAAATATTTTCCATGACTTTTTCCAGGTGAAAAGAAAAAAGAATCAGATAAGCGTGATAAGCGAAACACAAACACTAGCTTAACTGAGAGTGTATAACTTTTCTCAAACCCCAAACAATTGAAAAAGCTGTTTGTTTAATTTAATTCATATTTTCTTTCTGTTTTTCCTGTTTTCACGGAAAACAAACAAAGGAAGTTAAAATGATGCAACTGACCCTTTGCGTTTGGAAGGATCGAAGGGGCTTTGAGTAGAATTTTTCCTCCCAACGACGCCGTTTGACTCCGAATTGATTGTCGAGCAGAGATGTTTCTTAGGGTTGAAGAAGAAGCGCATCGCCATTGCAGAAGCAAATGCGCCGAACAGAGTCGCCGTTGAAACCAAAACCATCTCTCTCGAATTCATGGCTTTCACTATAACAACGAACCAGGGAAAGAGAGAGAGCAGAGCTTTATGCTTAGGTGCGAAGAAAGTGAAAAAGAGCAGAAAAAGAAGCGGGAAAAAGTTGTAGATATTTTTGCAGTACAAGTACGGCCCAGCCCATCTCAACCACGCGCGATTGCTTCAGTTAAACCCGAGTTTTATTGCGGTAATTGAAATTCATACCCAAGATCTGCCAGCATATGGCTTGTTCTTTATTCGATGATTGAACCAACCCGTATCAAAATTGTCCTCTTTCTTAATTAGGCTGCTTAGTGCCAAAAACACAAGAGACTCCCAATAAGTCACCCATGCTGCTACGCTTCAGCATATCAAACCAGCATGGAAATTTTTTTTTTTAATATTAAATTATGTTATGCTACATTATATTGTATTGCATGATATTATACTAGATTTATATGGGAGACAAAGTTTTTAATTATATTATATTCGATTATGTTGTAGACTAAGTTTTAATTATATTATGTTATAGATGACAAATTTTTAATTATGTTATAATATTCTATAATTATGTTAAATTATTTAAAATGTCAAATTTATTTAGAATTTTAGATTATATTAGCTTTGACTTTCGTTTGGGCTTGGGCTTGGACAGGTAAGATGGATAGGGATGGGGGCGAGAATTACAAATTTATCTGTAGACGGGAATAAAAATAAAAACTATACCCGATAACAATAGTGGACTAGAAATGAACGAAATTTTTTTAAGCAAGTATAGAAATAAATATTACATCTCCCGCACCCGCTTCCATCCACTGCTAGCCCACCTTATTACCCATATGCTATTGAGATCAGGGCCTCTTCGCTTTGGACTTCAGCCCATGTTCGACGAACTCCACATTTCATAAGTTGACTTTGTAGGAGTCCAAATAGCTAAAATCAACTTTGACACCACATATGCTTTCCGAGGAAAGGCCCTGACTTAAAATCTCAATGTTTCTCAAACAACAGATGTGAACTTATTCTAATGGAGAAAATATTCCATATAACGGTGATATTATGTCATTAATATTACACAATGTTATTAATCAGATATAGTATACAATGTGAATTTAGTGGGTCTTATCATTTTAATAACTGTCAATAACTATCTCATCTAATAACTATTATGTATGAATAATAGGTTTCACTAATCTCATTTGATATTTCATTATGAGTTGAAGATACCACGTGTTAATCTGAAGGGGTAGTTTAAGTGGTAATAAAAATGAGATGTAAATCCAGACGTCATAAATTCAAATTTTGGCATCCCTTTAAGATCTGGTCATGAGAGATTTATCTCTCATTAATAGTTTAGTTCTGATATGGATGGTCTGTCATTGATCGGATTAAGGAGAAAATTAGTCAAAGTGCGTCTAAGTTAGGTCAAACACTCCTGAATGTTGAACTAACAAAAAAAAAATACTACGTTTTAATAATGATATAATACATAGTTTTAAAACCCGACCCGGACATCAATCCGAAGAAGGGACCGGGTCAATGGATTTCTGGTTCAACCACTGGGTCATTGGTCGAACCGGTGATATAATAAAAAAATAAAAAATAATTATTAATGATGATAAATAGACTAAAAAATTAAAATAGTTATAAAAATAACATGTTTAATATATATTGAATCAAACAAAGTTATCAAGTCTGGATCACTTAATTGCATTCAATTAACAAACCAATGCATTCAATTAATAGCCCAGCCTTCACCCTCAAACCTGAATCACTTAATTGCATTCACTTAATTTTTGAGTTAACAAACACTGAACGAATGATTTAGGATTTAGGGCAAAACAGAAACGGAAAAGAAAAAAGACACAAAAATATAAAAAAAAGACATATTTATACTAAAGGAACAAAACCGACCGGTTTTGTAAACCCGTCCGGTTTTCACGGGTTACCGATTTTTTGACCGGTTCACCAGTTTTATTCCGAATTTTTTGTTCAAACGATCCAATTACAAAATCGGCCCGGTTAGGGGACCGGGTCAACCCGCCGAGCCGGGCCGAATTTTAAAACACTGATATAATATCACTATTACACCCATTATTTATTCGCGGTAATGGTGGTCTTATTACTTGGATAAAAACTCTCCTTCTGGGCTTCTCCCACGACTGACAATAAGGCCACTTTTGGCTCCCCCTTGACTTTAGGAGGCATTAGAAAGGACACATACTGCAAGTGTAAGGGCAAGGGCTTAGTTGGAGACCAACCAAACTGAGTTTGAGCAAAAATCTAAACTTAGTAACCAAACTCAAGTATATAATAGTTAGTAAGAACCAAACTTAAGCATATCAAAACTCGGTACGTGTAGTTGGACAAAAATTTCTGTTACTCTTATGGATGGCCCTTGACAAGGCCACCCATGACCTCTCCTTGACCTATGTTAGAAATAGTTGGAGATTATGATAATCGAGCCGAATTTGAATAAGAATTCAAGTTTGATAATCGAGTTCTAACATATGAGAGTTGATTCAAACTAAAATTAAGCATATCAAAACTCGAAAAGTTCGATTTGATTAACTTTACTAGTATTAATCTGAATACTCGAACAAAAAAACTCTCGTTCCTCTTGTGGGTAGCAATTATACAAGGTCCACCTATGGCCCCTCCATGACTTCTGCTAGGTTTTAGAAAGAACAAGTACTGTGAAGGGCTTAGTTGTAGACCATGATAAGTGAATCATTGTGGGTGTATGGTTTGGCCTCTAAAAGCGACCTCCATCACTGCTTCATATGGGGTCGTCTTTAGAGCAGTGACTAAAGGTGACTCTTTTGGGGCACTTAATACCTCTCCAAAAACTTCCAAGTCACCCAACCTCTCACATGCTCCTTGCCCACCTCACTCGCTACAACTTTTCCTCCTTAAAGCAACATTGCCACTGAATTTTTTATCAGCATATTTGGAGACAAATACATACCAACAAATTATACATTGGTCCCTCTTCCTGCACTAGTGGGACCCCCGTTTTCCTCCGGCAATTTCACGCATTCTAGATTAAGTAATCGAACAAAAGACGAGCGCAAATTCATACATCTTAAGTTTGTAAGTAATCGAACAAAAGACAAGCGTATACTCATCCGTCCTAAGTTTGAATTCTATTGAATCATCATAATCATGAGTTTAACACATGCATGTTGTATGTGAGTGGTTCCATAGATCTGAAATTTACATTGCAACCCAAAAAAAAACATATTGTGATGTTATGTGCAATCCATTTCATTGTGAACTGTTCCACACAAAACCCTGGCCCCTGGCAGGAATCAATTATACAACACAGTCCACTGCAGGGGCACTATTGATGGAGATAACTTACTTGCTCTTCTAGACAATCTTAGAAGAAATCTCTTCTTCTTTTTTTTCTTTCTATTTTTTGGGGAGAGGAAAGAAGAGGGGGAGAGTTGAACCATTAACCTCAAGAAGACAAAACATTTACAAGATAAGAAATACCATTAAACCAAAGGTCTATTGATAGAAGATATCTTTTGAGCTTGATTTTGTAACTCTAAACAGCCGTGTATGATATTGTCTTACAACAAACAATAATTCTGTTTAAACTTAATTTGTTGATATAATTTGTCTCAATCATTAAATTGATAATAAATATTGGAATTTAATGTCAATCAAACAGTTATGAATGATTAAGTCAATAAATTATATCAAAATAGTATTGTACTATAACAAATTAGAGTAATGCTATATAGACTTATTTAGTGACTTTATTATTTTCTGTCATTAGATTAATAATAGTTCTCGCTATTACTTGGAATCCACTATAAATTTAAAGATTATAATCCATCTTATCAACAAATAAGATACCAAAAAACATTTCCCAACACATTATAAAAGTAAAACTAAAAATAAAACCTAGTAGACACTTAAAAACGAAAAGGTCCTCACGTGACAGGTCAAGACAACCCATGATCCAATGGCCCACCTAGTTTTCGGGTCAATTCATGAACCACTAACCTAATATCTAGTATTATATCACTGATAATATTATTTGAATCTAATTTATTGACTTCATGTATTATAACCGTATATTAAGGGTGCAATTCGGACGGGTTTGACAGTCAACCTTAGCCTAACCTTAAGTATATAATCTTCAACCCTAATTCTAACTCTAATCCTAACTCTAACCCTATCTCCGGTTGAGGAATTCAACCCGAGTACTACTTGAGTTTAATTCGGGCGGGCTCGGGTTGAATTCGAGTTATTGATTTCGGATTACTTTACGGGTTCAATTCGAGTTAAGTTCAAGTAGAACCTAAAATAGGTTTGTTATTCTAAACACAATACATATATTACATAATATTCACATAAATTAACAATCAATAACTTCAACAAAGTTTTTAACATAAAAATCATTGTCACCAGTCCACTGCAAGAGAGACAGAGAGAGGGTGAATAATTACAAATTCATAAAACATAATCCATATATTTCATTCATAACAGTGCACGATTATTGATCATATATATATATAATTTTTTTTTGATTTATTGGATTCTAGTTGAACCCGAGTCCAACCCAAATTGAATTCGGGTTTGAATTTTTTGACCAAGCTTAACCAAATATTAAAAACTCTTGCTCAAATCCTAATTTTTTTAGGTTGAGCTCGAGTTAAAATCGGATTGTCCAACCCAAAGTGCACCCCTATCGTATATCCCAAAAAATACTAAAACTCATAATCAATCTAATAATTTTAATATATTAAATTAATAAATTAAATTCAAATAACGTCACTGACGTACACTCATACGGGTCAATCATACAACTGGGCCAGTTGATGAAAGAACTGGTCTGGGGGGCATGGCCCAACTTCCTCTGTCGTAAAGTCAAACCTTGGCCGCCTTGCTAAGTAGATAAATAAAGCTAAATATCTCTCCAGCTCATAATGTATTACTTTTAGAATTAAATAGTGTGACCTTCAGGACGGCTCTTTGATGATTGGACAATGGATCATCAAGTGGAGAGA